TTATGGATTCCATTTGTTTCCTATGTTGGGATTCCATGATGTTCCTCAGCTCCTGTATTTTTTTTATCTGTATCCTCTCTATATTTATTAATCATATCTTGCACTATGGGCACAATCTCTGCTGATATCTGAGAAATTATTTCTGATTTCATTTTTTCCAGATCCTCTTTTGTTGCCAGTTCTGGGAGTCCAGGTGGTTGAGTATCAGATTGTTCCATCTCGTTTCCCTTTGGAGTTGCTTTAGGTGATCTGGAAGCCTGGTTTCAAGACTTTTTTATGTGTCTTCTCATTTCAATGGGGGCGGGAGGGGGGGTTGCTGGTGCCAGCACACCTCACCTCCTTGGCGCTGGGTGAACCCGGAAGGTTCACCTCCTCTGCACTGGGGGCAGCTCTGCTCCTCTCAATAAGTATTTTGTATAGGACGTAATATCAATGAACACAAATCATTGCATGGCTTCTGGTCTCCCAAGGTCATTCGTATGCCAGCAGCAGCCAATAGAAGACACAGAAGGTGGTGGCCAGCACTCTGCCCTAGGACTAGTGCTCAGTAACTGCACTTTGGTGCCATGACACCAGAAGAACCCCAGCAGCCAATTCATTTAACAACCTAGTCACTGGACCAGGAATCAGTCATTACATAAGGAGTGTCGGCAATGAATTCCCACTATGCTCACTACAATTTTTCTAATTGGAAAATTTCTGTTTCTTGTCTACTGATGACATCTTCCCTAATTTTTATTGTTAGTGTGGCTTTAGGAAGTGGGAAAGATAACAGCAACTCATTGTAATTTGTCTTCACCTACTCTCCATCCAAACAACTTTCAGCAAGTTCACCCAGGGCCTCTCTATTGCTAAATTGAATGGACAGTTTTTAGTTCTTTTAAAGGATCCTCTACTGCATTTGAAATGTGGTCTGAGTTTCCTGAGGCTGCTACAAGAAATTACTACAGACTTGTTTGCTTGAAACAAGAGAAATTTATTCTCTCGCAAGTCTAGAGGCTGGAAGTCCACCATCACCTTCAGTGGGGCACAGCCGAGGTGTCAGCACATCTGCACTCCCTCTGGAGTTCCCAGAGAAAAGCCTGTTCCTTGCCCCCTCTCACAAAAATAAAAAAACAGGAACAACCTTTAATGCCGTTTCCATGTGTCTTCCATAAGGACTCACCGTCATATGTCATGCCTGTCTGTGGAAACCAACAACCCTTGCTTTCTCACTTAATAAACATCACTAAGAAGTCTGACCCAGTGCAGTATGAAAATGTAGGGAGGGCCTCTTGCTCAAAAAAGTAGTAAGAATTTCAAGATGGCAATAGCTGAGCCTAAACAAACTGTGGGGCCTTGGTAAGCACAGGACCCAGTGCATCTGTACAGGTCACATACCTGTCAAGCAGGATCTGTGTGGGAGTCATACCTTCTTCTCTCCTGCTGCCAGCTACCAAGAGCTGCCATATTGCTCCTCATATATTTCCTGATTCTGTTCTCCTTGCTTCTTCTCATCCATCATTGCCCTAGTGCAGGTTCTCATTACCTCCATCTGTTCTCTCGGGCTCAAATCTTTAGATCTGGAAGCCAAAATGAAACATCTAAAACAATTCTGGTCATGTAACTGCCCAGCTTAAAATGCTCCAGTGGCCTTTTATCACATTAAGAGTCAAGTGCCAGGAACTTCATATGATTGCCCACGATGAACTCAGTGAGATGATATCAGATCACTAACAGGGCTGGTATAGTGTGACGCACCTCTGTTCCTTGCTATTGCAGCTACTCCTACCCTTTGCCTTGACAACTTCTTTGAGTCTCAGGGTTCAACCAACTGGTTTTTATAACAGTGTCTGGCATACAGTTAACACAATGTACATTAAGAGGTACTGTTATTCCCGGACACCCTCTTGGAATACCATATTAGATTGGTTGTCCTTCTTTTTTGCTTCCATAGCACCTATATCTTACCTTACCCTACTATAGTGAAAAAGTCTCTTGCCTGTCTACTTCCACAACTAGATTGTAAGTTCCTTGAGGCAGAAACCATATCACTCATCTTTTCATCCTAGTGCCAAAGCAGTAAATGTACTACACACTGTAGGTATTAAAAAATACTCATTTATTCAACTGAACTTCAGTGTATCTTCCAGCCATTTCTGGAAGTCCAGGAGGGGTTTCTTGAAAAAAAAAAATTTATTTATTTATTTATTTTTTTTTTACAGACGAGACCTCAGCTCTTGGGGAGGTAGGGAGAAGAAATGTTTTCAGTCACCTGAGGCCACGATATTTTTCTTGTATCTCTAGTGCATAGCCCCTTCACTTCCCATAATTTCCCTACCTTTCTTATGGAAAATGCCTTTGATCATTAGGACACAGGGGCCACCACAGCGACAGAAGACAACCTACCTCATGTTCGTTAAGAACATGATTTGTGTTTCAAAGTGGTTTTTGCTTACAGATGCCCAATAGGTAACTAAAAGTAGGAAAAATTTGACCTTCATTTTGTAAAAATTCAGATCAAATTCTTCTCAACTCTGCATATAGGCATGTTAATCATGTAGGAAACATCTAAAAGTGGGCAAAACAGGTTTATTATTCCTAAATTTACCTACCCTACCTCATCACTATTCAAGAAAGAGAACACCTATTCCCAGAAGTCTCCATGGCCCTAAACTAGTGATGGTGAACTTTTAGAGCTTTCAATGATAACAAATAGTTTGCATGCCATAGGTTTGCCACCCCTGCTATGGGCACCTTGGATTCCAGGAAAGCCTCACATGACTGAGACATCAGGAGGATTCCTCACATGGGAATCAAATTGCTCCTCCAGTCATGAGGATTCCTTCAAAGCTACAAAACCAGGACTTAGATAATGATTGACGGGACCCCAGTCTACCACAACACCCCCCCAAAATTGCTCTTCATTCTTCCTGATCCTCTTCATCAAAATGTGCCCTTTCCAGCTACTGCTCAAGCTGAAATCTTTTCCTCATTTTCTCTCACCTTCCAATTAAAGAAGAGACAACCCACAATATGGGAAAATTTTTTTACTAGCTGGTTCTTCAGACAAAGGTCTACTATTTAGAAGACATAAATAACTTAAAAAATCAGACCTCCCAAATTTAAAGACCCAATCCAAAAATGGGCACCTGAAATGAACAGACATTTCTCAGACAAAGAAGTAGAAATAGCAAATAAACATATGAAAAAATGTCCAACATCACTGGTCATTTGAGAGATGCAAATGAAAACAATGCTGAGATTCTACCTCACCCCAGAAAGAATGGCTCCTATCAATATATCAACCAGTAACAAATGCTGGTGGGGCTGTGGGGAAAAAAGGAACCCTTCTCCACTCTTGGTGGGAGTGTAGATTGGTGCAACCACTGTGGAAATCAGTATGGAGATACCTCAAAAAACTAGGATTAGAGGTCCTATTTGACCCAGCTATTTCCCTGGTGGGTATCTTCCCAAAAGAATTAAAAGAATCATACCACAGCAATCTGTGGGCACCCATGTGTAGTGGCACAGTTTGTAATAGTGAAAACTTAGAAACAGACCAATTGTCCATCAACTGGAGACTGGGTAAAGAAAATGTGGGTTTTTTATAAAATGGGGTACTACTTAGCCATAAAGAGCGAGAAACTAGGGTCTGGGATTTAGCTCAGTGGCACTGCGCCTGCCTTGCAAATGCAAGGTCCTGAGTTAGATCTCCAGTATCAGAAAAATAAAAATAAAAATAATGAGAAACTACAGACATTTATAGCTAAATGGATGCACATTACAGGTGCAAATTCCCTATGATGAGTGTTATCATTATGTATATCTAAAATATACCAATAAATGTTTGGCTAAAAAAAAAAGTTGTGAGTTGTGAGGTTGTATTTGTCAAAGCACATTGAAATATACACTTAAAACCTAAAGAAAAGGATTTTGCCTATAAATTTATATGGCCACTTCAGGTTTAATTTCTATTATCACTAAAGCAGCGACCCATGCCAGCCAGTGACAATTACTTTAGTGGTATGTTTCTACAGTAACATTTCTGACTCTTCCTCCTGGAGGACTAGCACTCCTTACCCCTTGAACGTCTCTTTTCAACACCTCAGTGCACACTCTGCCAGGATCATTTCAAGAGCCTGGGAGTCAGGCTTCACGGTGGAAATCTTAGATTTGGCTTGTTCTTTTCTAGAAAGTTGTGTTGGGATAGGTATTAAAGAGGAACATCTGAATCTAATAAAAAGTTTATGGCTAGTGGGCAGGGTGTTTCTAACCTCATCTATTCTCTTTCCAGCTCTTTGTTCTGAAAGCCAGGGCATCAGAACTTTTCATTGTAGAAAAAGTGGGTGGAAGAAGAAAGTTTGGTTTGAACCACAGTTTCAAACCTTTCCTGCTTAGTGTATTTACGGTGAACTGCAGAAGGCTCTGCCTTGCGAAGGCAAGAGAGCCTTTCTCCTTTTTGTAATTTTGAGCATTATAAAGCCTTCATTTGGAGAGTTAGGGCAGCTTCAGGGGAGATACCCCGTAGGAATAAGAATGGAATTCTATAAGCTTTGCTTTTCTCTACAAAAGCTCACAGCAGTTTTTGAGTGCCTTCTCAATATTAGCATCAGAGAAAATAGAAAAGTGACGAATGTTGAACTCTGTTGTATTCAATCCTTATGAGAGAATGTTATGTGAAAAAGTTCGTAAATACAACCTACTTGCATATGCTATGTTTAAACTGGCTTAATGTATTTTATGCACGTGGACAAAGACTAGAAAAACTGGGGGGAAATAAAAGCTGGGTTAAATTGGTGCGTATATGGCTGAATTCTCTAGACATTCCTAGAAGAACATCGAAGGGCACATTTTAACACCTAGGGTGGACAAAGAAGATAAGAAAGTAAATCTCCGTGCTCTAAGGCGGTGGCGTCCGGGGCGGGGCCGCTGGTTTCTGGGCGACTCCGCACAGCCTGCCTTCAGTAGGACCCGGAACCTTAGCGACTTGTCTGGATGTTTTCCAGTCGGAAGTGAAAGCTCAGTAGCTGGCTCCCCCGGATGTTGTTGCACAGCTGTTTCCGGGGCGGTGTGAGGAGAAGTAGGACTCCTAATGGGTCGCAGCCGCAGCCGATCCCCACGGAGGGGTGAGTTCCGAAGCAGGGAGCTTGGGGTTCGGTCGGAGGCACATCTCTCACCTCCCTTTTTTTTCAATACCAGAGCAACGGAGAGCTGGGCCCTTTCCTCCCGAGTAGGAGAGCGAGTGGTGGATGAGGGAATGAAGACCTGGGCCCTACACTCTTCGGCCCTGACCCACCGGTTTATAAGGCAGTTGGGGGGGGGGGGGTTCGTTTCTTTCTGGATTAGGGTTTCTCCGACTTGTTGTCAGTCTTATACGGTAATTTTTATTATACTTGTGGTCGGTTAATTTCTACATGACTGCACAAATCCCCCACCCTTTTTGAATCGAATTCCCGTGGTAATTTCGGGATGATATTACATACCTTTAAATATTACATACCTTTAAAAACTAGTGTGAGAATTGAGTCACATTCCATAATATTCACTTGTGATTTTGCTTGGCTCATAGACGCTCCGTAAAGCCTAAATATTTTGCCCAGTTTATTAGGGAAACTGGTATTTAGAATTTTGAGTCCAGAGAGCTCAACCTCCTAATGTCTCTTGTACTCCCAGGCAGTGTAACGTAGAAAGCCTGGACTTGCATCGAGAGATCTATCCTTTCCTTTCTGTCACCCTCGCCTAGTAAATATTCAATTTTCTTAGGAGTTAAATGAAGCCTCGAGCTGCCTGTGGCCATTGAGCACTTGTATTGTGGCTGATCCAAGTTGAGATGTACTGAGTCTAGAATAGACGCTGGATTTTGTATTTTTAAAATGTAATATATCTTATTAACCTTTTATATTGCTCACATGTTGAAATGTTAATGCTTTGGATATATTGAGTCAAAAATCATTGCTACAACCATTGCTACTTGTTTCTTTTTACCTTTTCAGTGTGACTACTAGAAAAGGATCACATTATATTTCTGTTGGGCAGTGTAGCTCTAGATAACTGGGATACTGTACTTTTTGGTTCTGCAATTTTTGCGTATTTGTATTAGAACGTAGGCGATCCCGGTCCACTTCCCGGGAGAGAGAGCGCCGGCGCAGGGAAAGGTCCCGATCCCGGGAGAGAGATCGCAGGAGGAGCCGCTCCAGGTCCCCGCACAGGCGGCGCTCCAGGTTGGTGCAAAAAAACAAACCAGAAGCTCAGCTCTGGAGCCAGAAAGAAGCCGGTCATTGCCCTCGACTTTTGTTTTTATCCATGTATTAAGGGATTTACAGCCTAGTGAAGTGTATGAAACTTAATCCCACTTTATTTTAAAGCCAATAGTCCTTTAGCAAAATGAGGTTAATTGCACTCAAGTTAAAAAAAACAAGTATTTTCTATTTTTATTGTTTTTAATTAACTTTTTGGTGCCAACTACTGTGTAGTCTATAATGAGAGAGCTTAAAAATTGACCCTTTGTCCATAAGCATCAATTGCTGTTTAAATGGGCTTTTTGTGGTTTGTTTGTAATTGTTAGAAACTTTTAAAGCCAGCTTTTCTGCCTCACAAAAAACATTCCAGCCCTGAATGCTATGCTGAGTACAACCGAACCTGTATTTCTAACTTTTCCTTGTAACAATCAGAGCTTAGAGTCTTTTTCTGCACTCTGCTATGGGGAATATCTGGGGCCTGGCTTTGTTTAGCCTTTGCCTTTCAAGAAATCATGCATGTTTGTGCTCATCAACAAAGTTGCCATGTATGTCTGTTTCTAACATCTTTACTTATAAATATTAGATCTCCAAGACGACATAGATCCACATCTCCTTCTCCTTCACGACTGAAAGAAAGAAGAGATGAGGAAAAGAAAGAAACAAAAGAAACAAAGAGCAAAGAACGTCAGATTACTGGTAATGTTATTAGATAAATAGCCTTGTTTAGAGAACTTCAATCATGATAGAATTATATTTATTTAAATAGTAAGCTTTCTGTAGTGTCCATTGCATATGGTTTTGAGATTTTAATTGTTCCTTAGTGAGTTGCTGGTTATGTGTGGTGCTTCTGATATAATCTGGGAAGGGCAATTTTAAACATGAGACTATTCTATTTTGGAAGTGTCTTCAAAACTAGGTAGCGTCACATCTGATACTAGAGGCAGTCCTGCCTAAAGGCTCCAAGGAGGGAGCACAGACCTTTCTTGTACCCTAAGTCACATTCTGTCTGAATTTAAGAGGGTCTTTTCTCATTAGATTCATCTTTTTCTGGTGTTCTCTGCTAGTGAGATGAAATATCTCTTAATCTCTTGCTAGTCCTCTTTTTAGTTGTTTATATATGTGTTCAAAAATTATAAGAGAGTTCAAAAAATTGTGGAGTTTTTTGGGGTTTTTTTGTTTTGTTTTGTTTTTTGTACTGGGAATGGAACTCGGGACCTTGAGGTTGTGAGGCAGGAGGTGGAACCACTGAGGTAAATCCCTGGCCCTTGTTTTGTTTTTTTGAGACAAGGTCTCGCTGTGTAGTCCAGGCTGGTCTTTAACTCAAATCAGTCCTAAAAAAATGTTATTTTTGCAGAGGAAGACTTAGAAGGCAAAACAGAAGAAGAAATAGAAATGATGAAGTTAATGGGATTTGCCTCTTTTGACTCTACAAAAGTAAGTAAAACATACAACCAGCTAAACATTCCAATTTGAATTAATGTGTTAGGTCTGTCCTGTTTTTCGATATTCTTTTACTGTCACTTGTAATTTCTTTGGCTATAAAATAGTAACTTTCTGTTTGAAAGGCTTTGCGACCACAGAGGAGTAAACATTGAACTGCCGTTGGAAATCAGGAAATATTTGCCAGAGATGTTGTTTGAGTTAGATCTTAAAGAACAAGTACAGGTGACCAGATAAAGAAAAGGAGGAAAATCTTTCAGAGTGCACTGTAGGTGTGAAGGAATAGGTGTGCCCTGTAGGTGTGTAAGTGTATTCTGGGAATTTCAAACTCAGAGACTGGTTTAAGGATGCCGATGAGATAGTGATTGTGACTGAGGCTACACATGGAGGTAGGAGCTGAATTATGGAGGTCATTAGATATCCTTAGCTGTGCTAAGGATTTTAGGGTTCATTCGTTAGGTATTGAGAGGAACAGCATGGAGGACAGATGGGAGGTGTGTAAGATTAGAGGCAGGAAGAACTGTGATCCATGCAAGTGAAAGATGATGCAGGACTAAACTATTTTGAGATGATATACTCAGGAGCCAGAGTAACTCGGGGTAGAAGTCTTTAGTCAGTGGTACCTCAGGCATTGGGCTGGGGAACCTGGGTGATACAGTTAACCCAGAACAGGATTATAGCATGGGCAACTGCTGGGACATAGACTATTATTCAGTTGCCACGTAAAGATGATATTGAGCAGCTGCTGCTTGTCTCAGCTCAGAGGGGGATGGGGATGGATTTGAGAGTGAATGCTTTCTCATAATACTAATAGATAAGGAGGTAGAAGGAAGAGGAGAGATTGTGATGAGTGAGGAGGTTATGGGAGAGAGGGAGAAAGAACAAAATGATAGGAAGATGTGGCAAGAAACAGGAGATGGAAAATGAAGGGGTATAAAGAGAAGAAATGGAAGGAGGGGAGGAAGGCAGATGGAGAAAGGGATAGTGTGTGGGAAAGAATATATTTTTTAAAATCTCTTTTCTAGAATTTTAAGTTTTTTTCATTTAGTTTTGCAAATGGAAATTGAGATTTTTCAGGAATTATGAAAAATAGTCCATTTCCCCTAATCCTGTATTCCATAGAGTTGTTAATGGAATGAGGTAATCTCAGATGCTGTAAGAGTTTCTTTTTAACTAATGTGATAGTGCAGGGCTTGTAAGTTTTAAAGTGACAGTGTATAACTTTAGAGGAGTACTGAGGCATGCCTGTTTTGAGGTGAAAAGACTAAAAATGAGCTCTTATTCTTGCAGTGGTTATGTAAGCCCCATTTTGGAATTTAATGATGTTTATATATGAGCTTTTTTCCCCTTACATACACCAAATTCTTTGTTTTTTTACAAAGAATATTTTATAAATGTAATGGCGTGTGTGTGTGTGTGTGTGTGTGTGTGTGTGTGTGTTTTGGGTGAATAAAAATATCCCCAAAGTAAAGCAATTATACTATTACTGTTCTTAGAAGAGTAGGCAAGGAGTTTGTTGGAACTATTTTCTTGTTTGTTTTTGGTATTACTATTGCCTGATTTGTATTTGAAGTTCCTGAGAGTCAGGTGTAAAGATGGAGCTACCCTTCATTTTTAAATGTAGTCGTTGCTGAAGATGTTTGTTTACAGAGGAAACATTAGAAAAGAATTCATACTTTCTATAAAAATTATGGAGTACCATGTGATCAAGTGGTGTCAGTTGAGGTTTTTTTCCCTCCTGCACTGAAGATAAAAGCCAGGGCCCCACCCATGCTAGGCAATTGCTCTACCCTTAAGCGATGGCCCCGTGTCAGTTGTTTTCTAATGACCTCTATGAGGGTGTTAATTTTGTTCTTTGCAGTTGGCTTCATGACTATCAGTTATAAGGTCTCTTACCTCATTCATGTGTTTCAATAATGTATATCTTGTGATATTTCCATCATTGATCTACTGTTGGACCTTTTTTTTTTAATGTGCTGAGAACCTAACCCAGGGCCTTATCACGTGCTAGGCAAATGCTCTACCAATGAACTACACCCAGCTCTATGGTGGGACCTAGACACTTGCCAGTGTGGTCACTTATTTTCCCTTCTATTTTAACATTCTTCTAGAAAGTTTCAACATTTGATTATATTACTAATGGATAATTTTCTCTCCTAACATGTTAATAAATCAGAATATGACTAATACACAATTCTGCCAAAGCTAAAAATCAGTAAGCCTTTAGAAATTGAACCTAGTAAAATGATTATCACATTGCCTTTTAATCCTAGCTACTTGGGAGGATAGCAAGTTTGAATCTGGGAGCTTGGGCAACTTAGTGAGGCCCAGTTTCAAAAAATAAAAAAGACTAGGGATGTAGGTCAGTGACAGAGCACTTGCTTACCATGTGCAAGACTTTCAGTTAAATCAGTGGTATCAACAACAACAACAAAAAAGTATCATTTATTTTCAAGGCCAGTATTTCCAAATCATGCCTACTTCCTATTCTTAGGAGGTTAGAATAAATACTTCAAATGATTTGCTCAGTATCATCTCCTTTCCACCAAAATACATGAAAACAGAAATAGAAAATTGAGTCCAGAGTATTTCCCTTTTAAATACTCCTCACTTGTCCAGAGTCGCTGTCCGCCATGTCTCTCTTCCTTCTTCCCCTACCTTCAAATAAATTGTTTTTTTATTAAAAAAAAAAAAGAAAGAAAATTGAATCCATACGTGTTTATTTTAGCTCTACTTCAGATTTGTAGCTCACCTTGTCCATGCCTTTAGGCATCTGTATTTTTTCCCCTAATACAAATGTCTAATAGGTATGCTACAAAGATACTACACTCAGTGAGTACTGATGGAGATGTGTGTGTGTGTTTCTTGACATTAGCTAGTGACGTTCATTTGGCAGTCATTTCTGAACACCTTCTAGTGCAGTAGCCTAGGATGTGAGAATACAAAGGAGACTCCCAGATATATCCACTTCCCCTCTTTAAGAAGCTTGCAGTCTATCCAGGTGTGGTGGCACACACCAGTAATTCCAGCACTCTGGGAGGCTGATACAGGAGGATTGCACTAAGCCTGAGCACTTTAGTGACTTAGTGAGACCCTGTCTCAAAATAAAAAAGGACTGAGTACCCAGTACTGCAAAAAACCCAAAAGGAAACCCAGAAATACTTGCAGTCTCATAGGAAAAATAATATCATGACTTACATCTCAATAAAAGCTAGGCATGATGGTGTACACTTGCAACCCTAGCACTCAAGAGTCTGAGGCAGGAGAATCAACACAAGTTCAAGGTCAGCCTGAACTACATACTGAGACTCTGTCTCCAAAAAAACAAATCACAGGGCCAGGGATTTAGCTCAGTGGTTCTGCCACCTGCCTTGTAAGGTCCCAAGTTCCATCCCTGGTACCAAAAAAAAAATCATAATCATAATCGTCATAATAGGTAAAATGTAAGGTGCTGTGCAGAAAGTGCAGTTAATGTTCTTTAGGAGTTAGAGAAAAGGTACTACCTGGGCCAGGGATTTAGCTCAGTGGTTTTGCTGCCTGCTGCGCAAGCGTAAGGTCCCAAGTTCCATCCCTGGTACCAAAAAAAACAAACAAAAAAAGGTACTAGCTGGCAGCTGGACTATTTGAATTGCCCTTGAACAATAGATAAAAACCACATAGTTGAAGATTGGATGGGGGCAAGACAGGCAGTTCAGGCAAGAGGAACAGGATGGGAGTAGGTGGGTGTGTTGAGTTAACTTGGCTAGATCTAAAGACTAAAGAAATTTGTGAAAAAGAATAGAGGTGCCTCTTAGATCAAGGTGTTTTTTGGGGGGGCGGGGGGGAGTTACTGAAGATTAAACTCGGTACCTTTTGCTTGCAAGGCAGGCGCCAGAACCACTGAGCTAAATCCCGGGCCCAGATCAAGGTTTAACAGCTTAACTTTAGTGTCCATATTCTATGCCTGCTTCTTGCTTTAAAGATCAAAATGCTAAGGCTTGTGCAAGAAATGGGATTAGAAAAATGGAAACTAGTTGAGCTGTGACCTAACAATATTATGAGCTAGGTTATAGATTGAATTTTATGGGGCTGGGGATTTAGCTCATTGGTTCCACCGCCTGGCCTGAAAGCACAAGGATCCAAGTTCAATCCCCAGTAACAAAAAATAAATAAATAAATTTTGTATGAATGTCAGTTTTTCTGGAGCTAACATGCACAGTGTTCATATGGTTTCAGAGGATTATTTGACCCAAAAAGGTTAGGATTGGCTACCCTACTTCCCATCATGACTTGCACATAATACATGTACTATGATTATTTGTTGACTTGAATATTATATTTGTTTATGTGTGACTATAGAAATGTGAGCAAAGTTGTTATGCTTGCGAGTTCATGGGCTATCAGGATCTAAAATTGAAATTCTCTTATTGGACTTTTTTTTTTTTTGCTGGATTTTGCCATTTAATGTGTCAATGTGATCTGCCTCTTCCATCTAGGTATTTAATGTTCCTTCCTATTTTTTGTTTACTGTTTTTTTTCCAGGGGAAGAAAGTAGATGGTTCTGTAAATGCCTATGCCATAAATGTATCTCAGAAGAGAAAGTACAGGTATGCATAGATCCCTATTATGTTTGAACTATTAAAATAATTTCATACTTGGGAAAAACCTTTTTTAGTGGGTAATTATGTTTGTTTAGAAAATACAGCAGTTTTCCATACTTTCCCTTATTTTAATGAAGTATCATCCATATTTTGATATGTTAAAGTTGTTTTCCAATTTACATGGACCAAATAGCTACTACAGATAAGGTAGTTGGCTTAAATGTTTCAGGGCCAGAGATAGTAAATTCTGAAAAAAAAAAAAATCAAACCTGAAGTGTTTGGGGTTTGATTTCAGTATAATTGTAAGTTTTAAATAAATCCCTTCTGAACTGTTTACTTATATTGATTATGTAAGGATTTCAACAGTAAGTATATGCTTGTTAGTTATAGGCATATTTTATTTGTACTTAGAGATAGAATAAACTGTACTTGAAATCTCATTGAATTCTTAATGAATGAAAAAGTCAAGACACATTCAAACATTGTCCTCTCTCCACCTTTATCAGTGATAAAAGACTAATACTCCAATTCATTTAGACTATGAACAATGTAATTTGAGAGTGTCATGGGCTAAGATACTAGAATCATTATGAACAATCTTGTAAAATCACCTTCAAGAAAAGTCTTGTGGGGAGAACCATTACAATGTACTTGAAGTTAGTTGCTTGATGACTACCTATTTTGAGACTCCTCTCTTTCTTTGAATGAGGTGCTTAGTGTTAAATAAGTATGGAATTTCAACTGTTTTTTGGTGTGTGTGTGGGGGCGGGGGTAGGGTACTAGAGATAGAGCCCAGGCCCAGAGTTCTAAGCACTCTACCACTGAGCTCTTTTTATTATTATTATTTTTTTAATTTTCAGGCCATCTTGCTGTTTTCCAGGCTGGCCTTGAACTTCTAATTCTCTTGTCTTGACCTCCATGTAATTGGGATTATAGGTGTGTGCCACTATCCCAGCTCAGTTGTTTTTTTTTTAAAATCTGTAGAATCTTCCCAAATAATTTTGAAAGTATACTGGCATACTGCAACTTGGAGTTTAAAGAAATACAGAAGACTTTGACTTTACTTTTAAGTTAAAAAAAAAATATATATATATATGGTCTACAAGTGTAGCTCAGTAATAGAACAGTTGTATGTGCCATGGATTATATCCCCAGCACCACAAAAAGAAAATAATACTAAAATTAAAAGCTGGGCTTGATGGTGCAAACCTGTAATACCAGCACTTGGGAAACTGAGGCAGGATGATTGCTGCAAGTTGAAGGCTACCTGGACCTACATAATGAGTTCAAAGCCAACTTGAGCTACAAGCCAAGACCCTGTCTCAATAAAGAAAAAAGAAAAAAGTAAAATAATTTTTTTCTAATATGCATTAAACAGCCTTCAATAATTTCTACCCTAAACCTTAGCATTTTAAAGATGGTTTTAGTTTAAACACTGGGGTAGGTTTATGTATATATATTCCAGATTTGAAAAAACCAATGATTTTTCTCTTCTCATCATAGGCAGTACATGAATAGGAAAGGTGGATTCAACAGACCTTTGGATTTTATTGCATGAGAACTGAAATGTTGAAGAATGATTTCCCCCCATCTTGGTCAGAGAGTGGATTTTGTATTTTGTATTTAATATGCATCAAAAACGGGATCTCAGTTCTTCCTTCTTGTAAAGTAAGAAAATCTTATTTATGATGTATGCAGTTCACTTACCTTTCCTCCAAAGAAGATAGGTTAAATACTACTTTTTTTTTTAAAAGGAAATAACATTTGAGGCAATCATCAGCCCCATTTTGTTTGTTCTTATTCCTATGGAAGCTGTATATGTTTTCTTCTTGGATGGTTGTTAAAACTTTTTTAAAAACATAAAAGTAATTTGGACATGAGTTTCTCCAATAAAGTAATATTTCTACCCATTTTATATTTGATATTTTTATTACCAGATAAAAGAATCTCTTGACTCTTTCGCACACAGATTTAAACAATTGTGATTCTTAGCAGTTTAAAAATTGGAGAATGAAAAAGTACAGCTTTGGGTTTTTGTGTCTTTTTTCCCCCACAAATAGCATTTATTGTTTTCTTCAATTATAAAAGGAATGCATGTTTATTATTAAAAAATACTTGAAACCAAAAATTAAAAGCTTAAAATCATCTATTATCTATTCCTAGAAATAATTAATATTAACATTTTGGTATATGTGTTTCCAGACTTCTCAGGGTATATATGTATTTCTCATCTCCACCTATAAGATCAAAATGTATACCATTCTCTTTCTCTAACCTTTTTTTTTTCTCAGGTACTATGTTCATTTTTTAAAACATTCTTTGGAAACTGAGTAGTAGCTGCTTATTATACTTCCATACTGCATACTTACTATATTTATACTATACTTCCATACTTGTTATACTTCCATACTGAGTAGTAGCTACTTATTAGTGAACATGTCTCTCATGACTTAGAATTGTAATTAGAACTGAGACTATGATCTCCATTACATCTACATTTTTGTGAATTCTTAAATGTGATAATACTGGGTGAGGATAAGTGGGCATGTTATCATGTTTTAAGGTTTTTGATATGTATAACTAGGAGATAAAAATCAACTGCTAAATATAGCATTCTCATTTCATAAACATGCACAGATAGTAGGTATACTTTTTTTAAAGTTTCCTATCCGATGGGTAAAATAATATTTGGTTTTTATTCTTTTTAGTATCTAAGAGGGACAAATATTTAAAAAATGTATTAGCTATATGTATTTCTTTTGCTAATTCCAAATCTTGGATCTATTGTCTTTTGGCAAGTTTTCCTTTTTCCATTTGAAGGAAGCTCTTTCTTTATTGAAGATAATAACCATCACCCATTCTGTTTTATATCTTGCTGATATTTGAGGCTCTGTGGTTAGATTTTAAATTTTATTTTGGGGTATACCTACTATAAATGCATAGAATACAATTCAGATATTATAAAAAATATCTAATGACAAGTTAGTTGTGTATCCATTCAGAGATATTTCATACATTCCAAAACATACATATTTTTATATATCTTATTTTGTTGGAAGATAGAAGCATACTGTACTGTTCTGCACCTAGTTTCTGTGTACTAGGGCCGGGGATTTAGCTCAGTGGTTTCGCCGCCTGCTGCGCAAGCTCAAGGACCTGAGTTTGATCTCCGGTACCAAAAAAAAAAAAATTCTAGTTTCTGTGTACTTACATATAGCTCAGTATGAAGACCCTAGGTTAAATCTTCCTTACTGAAAAAAAATTGAATAATATTAAAGAACATTTGTATTACAGAATGCTATTTTAGTATTCTAAAGAATATTTAATGAAATACGATATGGGAAATAGCTACAATGTACAGTGTAAGTGCAGAAAATTACCTATATGATTTCATTTGGGCATAAAAATGTATCTTTTGGGGCTTAAGGATAATTATAGTCTTTTTTTTTTTTTTTTGGTACCAGAGATCAAACTCGGGTCCTTACAGTTGCAAGGCAGGCGGCAGAACCACTGAGCTAAATCCCCGGCCCAAGAATAATTATATTCTTAATTATCCTTTTCTATGATGTACATTACTGTTATAGTCAGAAAAACATTAATTAAAATCATGAATTCATCATGTTCTTTTACGTGAAGCTACTAGAGAATTTTGTTCAATAATCCTTGCAGAAGCTGGGACACTTTATGGTTTTCTTATTAATGACTTACCAATTTTATTTTAACCTTTATTACCCGCATAATAAATGAATACTTTTTTGTAGAAATTTTAAAACAGTAGAGCAAACTAAATTTTTTTTCTTAACAGTAGCTGCTATCCTATTTCTCCTTTTTTACTGATCCTTTGCACATATCTTTCCTTAGTCTCCTCATGTATGTGTGCCACAGTTGGAAATAAGGAAAATATGTAGTTTGGATCTTTTTTTTCCTTTTTCTTTTGTAATGCTGGGGATTGAACCCAGGGGCTTATGCGAGCTAGGCAACTGTTCTAGCACCAAGCTACATCCTCAGCCTGTAATTTTTATTTTGAGACAGTCTCACTAAGTTGCCCAGGCTGGCCTCAAACTTGTGATCCTCCTTCTAGCTAGAATTTCAGGCATGTGCCACCATTCCTAGCTAGTTTAAGCCTTTTTAAAAACAAATAATATGTAGGGATCATCTTACAACTTATTAGTGCCTTGGAGATCTTTCTGGGCCAATATAAATGTGAATCTACCTTTAAAAACCCTACTAGGCCAGAGATTAAGCTCAGTGGTTCCACCACCTGCCTCACAAGCGCAAGGTCCAGAGTTCGATCCCTGGTACAAAAAAAAAAAAATAAGCAAAAAAACCCCTGCTAAATAGTATTTTGTGTAATGTATATCAGTGTTTTATTCATTGCCACATTTAAAAAATCATAAGTATTTGTGGAGTGATTAAAATTTGCAAGGCAGTTTGTAAAGGTTTTTGAAACTTAGTATTATATCGAGTGTCATGATACTGGAGTGTCCAAACTAGCCACAAAGAATGGGATTGATATTAAAGCAGAAATTTCCAGTCCTAATTTTTTTATACTTAAAGGAACAAAATTCCTCAAAAATTTAACAAATAAAATTCATTTTAATGTCACAGTGGTTAGAAAGTGTCAAACTCAGTTATAAAGAGCTGTAAGGAGCACTGGCATTAAGCATTTAAGTACTGTCCTATGCCCACCAAGAAGATAACCCTGAAGGAAAGAGACTGGATCTTAGCTTCCTAACACTCAGTAAACATTTTCTGATAAGTATAATATTTAATCTCCTTATATTTCTCCATTTTGTTTTTTTGGTACTGGGGATTGAACTCAGGTCCTTGTGCTTTCGAGGCAGGCAGCAGAACCACTGAGCTAAATCCCCGGCCCCCATATTTCTCCATTTTCAACTGTACTTTCCAATTCTCTTAGTTTTATCTTGATATATGCTCAAAGATGTGTTTTTCTTATGTTTATGCTATTACACATAGCTTTTTATTTAAAATTCTGGTCATAAAATTGAGGTTCAAACATTCTAGAATTTCCAGCTTTTGGGATGGCAAGGTTGTGCAGTTCATGCTTAATGCCTTCAAAGCATTAAGGACTAGGGAATCTTTAAAGAAAACTGAAAACCTGCACTTCTGGTTTTCTTAATCAACTGGTCATTGTATATATATTTGTGTAAAATAATTTCTAGGGGGAAAAAGAAAATCTCAATCCCCAAATCCGTTTTCTACTTACTCCTTCACTTCCAGTAGATGGCACCAAATGCTCTTTGAAGTTCATGATACTGATTCCTAGTTCATGCTGCTAGCTAATTGATCATTTCTTCCACCACCAGAGAAGGAAACAGAACTTGATCTTACTCTCTGATGTTTATATAACATAGTATTTTTGTTTGGAGTATAAGCTAGACATGTTGGTGTTTATTTTCTCTCTGACTTGTATTTCAAACTCCCACCCCTCTTTCTGAAAACATAAGTGTGATTTTCAATCAGATGATTCTGCAGGTCATATTGAATAAGGCTGAGTTAAATAAAAAGTTAAGAGTAAGAACGAAATAAAAGGATATGCCAAGCGTTCATAACAAAACTTAAGAGAAAATATAAAACTATATAAAATTAAAAATATTAAGATAATGAAATAAAGAGCTTTTAGTAGCATCAGTTTAGGTACTTTAATAGAACTGCATGTGTTTCACTGATTTTTAAATGTATTTTATAAATAACATGCAATTTAAAAATTGTAAAACTGTTATCTCTTCCCCCACTCATTTCCAACTTTGTTTTGTCCATTCTTGAAAAACATCACTGTCAGTCTGTGCATTTAACTCGTGTTGTCCTATACAGAGCTAGCTTTTAGATCCAGTTAACCATTAACACTGGAAAATGTGTTTCCTGTATGTTAAAAATGGTTTACTATATGTTTATCCTGTTGTTCCAAAATTTTAATTTTAATGGCTTTATGAACCAAAAGATAAAAGATACTTACTTTTTTTTTTTCTTCCTGAAGGAGGCCTTTGCACTGAACTATATCCCCAGTGCTATTTATTTATTTATTTATTTATATTTTGAGACAAGGTCTTGCCAAAGTTGCCCGGGCTAGGTTTGAAATTGGAATCCTCCTGTCCCAGCCTGGGAGAGTGCTGGAATTACAGGCATGCAGCACCACACCTGGCTGAAAGACACTTTTTAAAATTTCCTGTCATAATTGCACTTACACATTTGTCCTTCTTCTTACCCAAGGTTTGAGTGTCAGTGTTTTGTGATTCAGTCTTGAAACCTGTTTATCTGCTATGTCTTTAGTAGAACTACCAACTGGAGGATTGGTTGCTTCAGCTCTGGGTGAGACAGACTTGGGTTCATTTCCCATCTCTGCAGCTGAATGGAGGACATGGAGAGTCACTTGCCCTCTCTGGGCCTGTTTGTGTGCAAAGTGTAGGTAATTAACACAACCTACCTCATGGTATTATATGGAGGATTAGAAATAATGTATGTAAATTACCTGACAGCAATTACTATCGTATATATTGGGAACAATCAATTTTTCAAAAAAGAAATATGGGCATGCTTTAGTCATTTAGATTTTGGAAACTCTCAACTTACCAATAGCTTTAGTTCTACTTTTTAAGTTGGAGATAGTATATGAATGTTATCTGGTTCTCCAGAGATTTCATTTAAAACTTTCTTTTTGGTACCAGGGATCGAACTCGGAACCTTGTGCTTGCGAGGCAGGCGGCGGAAGCACTGAGCTAAATCCTCGGCCCTAAAACATTTTTTTGATAGATTCAGAGAACAACCTTTAAACTTTTGGTTCCGTCCTCGTAATATTCTAGTTACCATTTATATTAGTACCCCCCCACACACACCGCATTTGCAGTCGTCGTGAGCATTCTTTTGAATGTATTCATCTGGTAAAAAGGGAAAGCT